TACCATGAATAATCTAGGCAGAAAATAGTGTATTTTCAGTGCTGGAAATTGCCCTTACAGCTCCGCAATTTAAATTTCAGTGGTTATAATTTACTAGTAGTTCAATGAAGGGCTTTCAAATGCACCAGCATAATAATCAGGTTTCTAAGCAACTATTTCTATAGCAGTGCACCACTAACCCATGATTAAATAAATTAATACACTCTGCATATGGGCAGGTGAGTGATAACCTTTGGGAAATTTTGGAATTTGTTACGAATTTTGCATCTAATTTGTATTTAGGAATTTTGTTATTCTTTTAAGCTTGCATTTAGGAAACTAAAATGATAGGTTTGTTTCCCAAAGAAAAGCACATGAATTTCAGTGAAAAGCACTATTGAAAAAGACAACCTGCCTTGTGAGGATTAGGAGATGTCTTAATTCTACCTTCAGGTGACAGTCACTAGCCAGGCAGTAAACTGAGTCTTTGACTAGCTCTTGTTTAGAAGTGGAGAAGGGTTGGTATCTCCACATTCTTCTCAAGAAACATTGAAGGAGAAAACTCTGAAACTTATTCATCTAGTAAAGGTACATATATAAGAGTTAATGAAATGGGGCTTAAGAAAAATGAAATAGCTATACTGTATGGCTAACTCAAAATTTTGGTTTGCAACAGTAGCCAGTCTTTCAAAAGGAACTCATTAGTCAGTAAAGTTGTGTTGTGCAACAAGTCATGTTGCATAACACATCTTACTTACTTTTCTTGCTGCTGGGACAAAATACCCAACCCACAAAGTTAATGCAGAAAAGGTTAATTTAGCACATAGTTTGTAGAGGTTTCAGTCCGTAATTAGCTGGCTCCAAAACAGGGTGATAAATGGCAGAGGGGCCATAGTTCATGGCATTGGAAGACAGCAAAAACAACCAGAGAAAGAAGGGGAAAAGCCTTTTTATCCTCTTATGTTGTGTGCAGGGTACCTGCCTTAGGGTGGCTGTACCACTCACATTCCCAATCCCAGCAAAAGCCAATGAAGCAACCACAAACACTAGATTAAACCACCTCAGAAAAGTCTGTGGCCAGGAACTCATTGAAGTTTTGGGGGACATATGTACACAAACTGTAACAACCTATCCCTAGCCTTCCAAAGATCCCTTTATGCAAAAGGAATTTAATCTATCTCTAATATTTGCCAAAGTCAAAACAGTATTGGCATTGCTGAAAAGTTCAAGTCCGAAGTCTTCTCTGAAATTTAAGGCCATCTTTTAGTTGTGGGGTCCCTATACAAATGAAAAGAAAGTTAAACACAATATTCAGTGGCACAAGATAAATATTTCCATTCCAAAAGTTACAAATTCAGTTACAAAGGACTGGGACCAAAGCAAAGACAAACCAGAAGGGCAAACATGAAGTCCTATAGTTCCACAGGCAACATCCGAAGCAAACTGGAAAACTGTGAATTCCTAAAGGCTTGGGAGGCTCCATTTCTGTTGCACTTCCAGTGGCAGCAGTTCCCATAGTTTCTCTTTTGGGCCAGCTCTGCTACCTCTGTGCAGTTTTCCTCAGACAGTCCATACTTCCTGGCTTCACCAAAGTTCTGTGGTCTCCACTGTACCTTTGGCTTCACACTCACAGCTATTTACCCATTACCCTCTTAGGGACACACTGCCTGGTCACCCAGGCCTTCTTGTGGAAGTCTGGGTGGGAGCTTTTATGTCCCCACAGGTCTTGCATACTCCATGTGTCTAAAACCAGTGCTATGTGGATGATGACAAGGTCTGTTGCCCACTGGGACAGTAGCCAGATTGACCTCTCTCTCTCTCTTTTTAAAAAAATATTTATTTATTTATTTATTTATTTATTTATTTATTTAGTGTGTGTGGCCAGCTCAGCCCACTAGGGGGCGGGGCTGGCTGGCATGTGGTGCTGGGGGATTGAACCGCGGTCCCTGTGCTTTGCTAAGCTTAGCTTGTTCTAAGTAGGTGCTTTAGATCACTGAGCCATCTCACCAGCCCTCCCTCTCTTTTGGCTGTAGGAATCAAGTGTGTAAATCACTGACAACTCTGAATACAATTTTGAGGAATAAATTCTTTATATCACCACCATTCTGAAACATGGTGTGGCTGCTGCCATTCTGGAACATGGTGCTCTGAGGTTTTCTTCAATTTTGCAATCTATAAACTGTAAAGGGTTGAGTCCTGATGCTTCTTGTGATCTCCTCAGGACATCTTTTCTATTTTCCTGCTCCTCTTTGTTAGTCAAGATCTCTGCTCTATCTTTGCAGTAGACAGCTTTACTGGAACTTCTTTTCTGGCCAAACTCAAAATGTTTTAAATCATTCTTTCTTTCTTTTTTTTTTTTCTTTTTTTTCAGAATGGAGGATTGAACTCAAGCCCTTGTGCTTGCCAGCATTTATTCTACTGAGCTATCTTCTCAGCCCCTAAATCATTCTTCTGGCTTTTTTTGTCATTTGATTTTCAACTTAGATCTGGCTAGAAGCCCCAGACAGCAGCCATGACACCACCTCAATATTAGAGTGTCTTGAAATTTCTCTTTCCAGAGTCTTCCACTATTAATGTTAGTCTCAGTTAGTCTGTGGCCATGAGAAAATTGCGGACAAGCTTTATGCCAAGCCACAGTGCACATTGTCTGGCGCCCAACAGCCAGTGTGGTCATTCTTCCAAGCAGAAACCTCCTGAGCCTGATCTTTACTTGAGGAATGTCTGTCAGCCTTTTGATCTTCTGAATTCTGACTAGAATCTCACATTCAGAACAGCCTAAGACATCCCAGTTCTACTTTCACTGTCAGTATCTCTAAACTTTTTCCACAAGCCATTCCTGAAGTCTCCTGAAGCACATGGTCAAATATAGTCACAACACAGACCTCATTTCTCTGGTACCAAATTCTTCGTTACTTTTCTCATTGCTGAGACAAAATACCCAACCCACAAAGTTAAGGGAGAAATGGCTTATTTAGCACATAGTTGTTGAGATGTCAATCCATAATCAGCTGGCTCCAAGATGGGGTGGTAAATGGCAGAGGGGTAATAATTCATGACATCAGAAGACAGCAAAAACAACGAGAGAGAGAGAGAGAGAGAGAGAGAGAGAGAGAGAGAGAGAGAGAGAGAGAGAGAGAGAGCTCTTTTCTCCCTTATATTATATACAGGCTATCATTGTACTAGACAATGAAGTAATCACAAGTACTAGATTCAGCTGCCTCAGAAAAAAGTCTGCCCCCTGTGACTGCATGAGGCTTTGGAGGGGGAGACATCCAGACAAAAGCCAAAATAGTATTATAGATACTGTTAATGAAAAATGCATAGAAAGAGTAGGTTAAAAAATGTGATCCAAGGGACTGAACAGATCTTGATGTGTGTATGGAATGAACGTTTAGCGCTTATGATAATAATGTAACATCATGAATTATCTAGGCAGGTATTAGTGTAATTGCAATACTGTCAGCATATTACTGAAGCCACTGACAGATATTGCCTTAGTCTTAGCAACTCAGTAATCAAAGAAGAGCAGTTAAAATTCAACAATAGTTTAACAGCACACTCAATGCTTCAAGTAATATTTCCTAGTAACTTTTGCTCACAGAAAGGGCAAGTTAGAGGTGACAAATGAGAAAAGCAAAAAATATGCTACTTTATTCTTTTATAGTTGGGATGGAATAATTAATAAATTCCTAAATTTCTGTATGGAATTAAATCATGCTTGAATATATGCCATAGTAATGCACTTTCAGAGATCATATATTGCCTAACGACAAGATAGATGCCTTGTAAAGGTATTTTTTTTTTTTTTTAGGAATTAGAGCATGAGACAAGCAAAAGTAAATGTTTTAGTAATTTGGTCTCATCTTAATGTTTAAATCACTGGGAATTAATTAGCTTGTAGGACATTAAATAATGTCCACAGAATTCTGGTACATGTAGTACTGAGGGATTTACACACTTTCCTGTTTTTCTCTGTTCCTTGTCCTGAGTGCAGAGTGAGGGCAATGCTCTAGCTAAGAAAGTGATACCAGCAGCAGGCTTCCTGACCTACTGTCTTCTGGCCTAGGGGATGCAGAAAGTGCAAAGCAGTCTCTTCCTAGACGAGGAAGCTTACAGGATTTTTTCCTGGCTACAGTCTAGAGAAGAACAGGTAAGATAAGGAGGCATGGCTTTTTCTCATTTATTATTTATTAATACTGGCTCCCAAACAAAGTCTATGTAACCACAGGTATTATCTTAAGAATCCAAATTCTATTTACCTTTTTAATGCATTATTCTTGATGTTTTCCTTCAAAAATTCACAAACACATTCCAAATCCCTTTTCATGCCTTTCCCAAGCTTCTGTACTGATAATTAGGTGTAGCCTTTTGTTTAATTTCTAATTTTAGTGCATGCAATTTCTCTACATGTATATTAATTCATCTGGGAATAGTGAATGTACAAGGCAGCTCTGAATAAAACATTGAGCCCCACAGAGATCTACAAGATGCTTGACTGCTTTGGTCATAAATCAAAAGTGAAAATGATTTCCTGTTTTCTCCTCTTTTTTATTCTCCCTCCCTCCCCTTCATCTTTTTCCTATGTTCCCCCCTTCCACCCTCTCCTACTCTTCACCATTCCATCCCCATTTCAATTCTTCTAATTCATTTTGAATTTATTAATTTCCAGTAGACTCTTTAGTCTTACTGATAATAGAGAAATAGAACTCCCAACTTGCTAGATGTCTGATGTACCAGCTGCAGGAAAAGGATCTGTACCAGACACTGAGTCAGCCAAAACCCTCCCATATGCCCCCCTGGATGAGCCTGCCTTCTGATTTCCCTTTAACCCAGGAATGGAAGTCGTGTAGTGTGGAGGACAATAATACCATTTACTGGCAATGTAACAACCACCCATAATAGAAGTGAATTGCCAAAACCTGCCTCCTAGTTTCAGGTTCATCTAAGAGCATGAGCTACAAAGCCATTAGAGTTTCCATCCCAAAAAGCCATCCCAAATAACTGTCTAAAATGAGGCAATAGTTTTCAATTTAACAGCACATATACTAGAATCAGACTGACATGGAGAAGATTATGATGTCGCCTGCACAAGGATGACATTCAAAATCCTGAATTGTTTAATATTTTTACATTAGGATAAGATAAATAAATAAATAAGTAAATAAGCTACCTCATAATCACCAAGCAAGTAAAGAATGAAAGTAAATTTAGCAACTAGTGTGGAAGTAAGTCTAAATATAGCATATACAAGACAGAAATACAGGGTCCTGTCCATAGAAATAAAAATATCCAATCAAAGAAACCTTCATATGAAGACATCAAAATCTTCCCATGCTCTCAACTTTTATTTAACATAGCACAAGAAACCAGCAAACCATACATGATGATTTTTTATTACCTAAATGAATTCTAATTCAAAATCCATCTATAAAATCATAAGCAACCAGAAAGCAACAGATGACAATTTTTGATTAAGTGAATCAAAATTCAGAAGAAATACAAATAGAAAGATATAATACAAGTAAAAGGAAAGCAGGATCTCAAGGACTTAACTAATCAAGACAGGGAAAGGAGAAGAGCTAGGAAATATGACAATGTCAAACCATACAGTTATATGCAGAAGATGAGCAAGGCAATGATCCTGAGAATCTTCAGAAGATTTTTTAATCTAGCAGTTGTTTGGAAAGATTCTCACCCTGACTAACTATATATACTGATACCTGTGAACTAAGCTATTGCACTGCAGATGGTAATTTGTAGTAGCAGTTTTATGCTTGGAGTGCCTGTCATTCTGGTCTTCTGAATATGGGCTCCTTGTCATGACATGCGAGTTGCTGCTATGATGTCTCTCAGGTAGATGGTTGTTCAAGAAGAAGGGGGTGGTGAAGGAAAGCAAGAGACAGGAAAAGGAATATTGTGGGACTGTCCTGCTTCAAGGTTGTATATGGTGAGATTTTTGGACTTATGTGCAGACATGGGAAGTATATAATTCTTTGTGCCTATTTTTAAAATATATTCTAATTTTAAATGTTTTTTATCATATCCTGTAGGGACTTAAAGTTCAAAATATCAATACTTGATGAAAAATACCTGTTCCATATTATGCCTAAGATATTTGATATGCCGACAGATAGTGAGGTTAGGCTTAACAGCCTAAGTTGTTCGATAATAACAACAAGCTTGTCTTCGGGATGGTTAACAACCTAAGTTTGCAGACCAAAATTAGAGAAAAAGGAGGGCTGCAAGGAAAGCCAACATTTTGGCCCTAACCTTCCAAGGTCAATTAAGACTCAGGACATATGAGAACTTGTACTGCAACATCATGTAACTCGGTAGTGTACCAAATTTTCTGATCAAGGAGATTATGGGGCCAAAGAGGAAAGTGATTGATGATGTAGAGTGTGCCTAAGGAGAGTCACATGGAGAGAAAACATTCTCTCAGGCTTTCACAGAGAGCACGTTGGCCAAGCAATAGCCATGACTCATCCACATGGCTGACATTGACAAACGGTCTACAATCTGAGGTACAGAATCTCAGGATAAATCCTGAGGGGATTTTACTGACTTTATCAGACCCAAAAGCTACAACTCTTGTTGCATAGGTCCTGCTTTGCCTTGGTCTTAACCATCCAGAAGAAAAGTATAAAAGCAAAATATAAGAAATAAAGCCATGCTGTTATGTTGAGCTGTGGGGGACTCAGGCCAACAATTTCCGACATTGCCAGTTAAGCAGAAGACTCAATACTAATATGGGCTACTGGACTGTTTTAGAATATTTTTCTGAATTTACACACCTATAATATTCAAATAATGGAACTTAGCAAGAAAAGGGTATACAGATGAATGTCCATTTTGTATCTGTATTCAAAGTGGTTAGGATAGATATATAGTTACATTCTTTTAATGAATAGAATGATTTGTTCTAATGGTGCTTGTAAATAGGATATCAAGTCCGCATCTTGTACAGCAATTAACCACTGAGAAGAATGTATGCATTGTGTTAATTATTGAAACTGTTCTACCGATTTGATTTGAAACTATCTCATTGCTATTTGTTTATCAATAAAATTATGGCAAAAAAAGAAGTGGATAGATTAAAAATATGTGTATCTAAAAAAAACCCAAATTCAGAATCCAGTAAAAGTATGGATGACATGAAACAAGCCAAATCTTACCTCCTTCTAAGTATCTCAGTCAGATCCTCAAAATGATATAGAAAAAATAGAAGTCCAAGCCTTCTAGATGTCAGATATTCTCAGTTTGTGTTCCTTGAAAATTCAGAATGAAATCTAAGACACAATGGAAAAGTTTACGGTAAAAGCCTCTGAGAAACAGGGGGGTCCCAAAAGTGGGTTGCCACCAAGACCCTTTGTCAAGGGTAATTTATACTGCAAAGTCACAGTATAGTACAGTAGGAATCAAACTATAATTAACTAGTAAGATTACAAGTATATCCACTTAGTTATGATTGGCACAGTAAAGAAGTTGGACATGTAGTAAGTTTACATGGATAGCCTTATTAACTTTAGTTTAACTATCATTTATAAAATGAGAAAATTTTGGAAAGGAATAGATCCAAATATCCTGTTCACCTACCTGGGTATATGATGCCTACCTAGGCTTAACAGACTGGGTTGGGAAAGTAGTTATAAGGATTGAGGCTCACCTGACCTTACCTGTGAACACTAAGGAAGGAATAGGAAGCTGTACTCCCTTTGGCAATGTGTTGTCATGCTGGCACACTGCAATTTCTAGAAAAATCAAAGACTAGGATCTCATTTAGAGAAATACTTACCTGGGCAGCTTTGCAAATAATGAGAAAAATGAAATTTCCATTAACCAAATTGTTTGCTTCCATGCCTAATTTGAATAAAAATAAGGTAAACCAGATACTCAGGCTTTTTGTCCACTAGAGGCAAGAGAACCCTGGTCTCACTTCCAAAATTATCTTTGCCTTATCTTTAACCTCTATCCACAACCTCTGACATTCCTAGTAGGCTGGTTTTCTGTAGACTTAGAGCTACTAATTACAGTGTAGTTTCAAGTTCAGCTTATCCCTTAGGGAAGTGTGCAAATCTAGTCATTGTGACTTTATCTTGAGGACTTACCTTCTTTAGATGAGCCTCCAATCATAATTCTGATGTTTTTATTTTTACTGACTTCCTTCCTGGTTCTGTCCTTGTCTTAATATCTAACTTAGCCATCTTATCTCATTCATTCAAGCAGTGATTTAACAGTGACTGAAGTTGCTTTGTAGTGTAAAGTGAGAAAGAGCCTAGAATCAGCTGCTATGATTTTTAAAAAATGTATTTGGTTTTTACAGGGTCTCACTATGCAGCTTGGACTCATAGTGATCCTGCTGTTCTCAGCCTCCCCAGTGCTGGGATTACAGGCATGTGCTACCACACCAGACTCTGTGGTTGGCTCAGCCCATCCTGGAGGCAAGGCTGGTGGGCATGTCATGAAGGGAATTGAACCTAGGTCCCTGAGCTTGCCTAAATAGGAGCTGTAGTCCACTGAACTATCTTGCCAACCCCATTAGCTGCAATCTTGACAGATTTAAAAAAATCAATACAAAATCTTAAGACATGGGGTAAGTTAGGTTGTAGAAGAAAAATAGTACTGGTTAGAGAATGTCCAGTTGTTGGTCCACTCACGTGGCCCAAGGGAAATCTTCAAGCTTAAGGTTCTAAGGTTAAATAATTCACATGAGAAAAATATCAACAACAACATCAGGCAGCATGGAACAGAACAGAACACAAAAGCAAAAGAATGCAGGAGTGCAAGAGCCATAGGACTGTCAATGTCAGAAGTTGTTGACTTGAACCTTTTACAGCTCAGTATATTAATATGGCTTTACTTTTTATCCCTCGTTTTTGTACTTTTCTGCTGGATGGTTAAGACAAGATAAAGCAAGACCTATATAATATGAAGTGTAACTTTTGGATAACCCACTACTATTATGGACTACTGAACTATATTGGATTATTTTGCTGATTTCACGTACCTACAATAGTTAAATGGCACTGGAATAACCATCTCTGACAAAACTAAACAAAAAAGGGGATACCAATGAAGGACCATTTTGTATCTGTATATTCAAAATAGGATAGATTTACACTACTTTCTCTTAATTCACTGAGAAGAAAAATTTGTACTAATAGTGTTTAGACAGGATATCATGTCTGCATCTTGTACTATGAATAACTATTAAGAAGACAACAATATGCAAAGTACAAATTATTGAAACTGTCCTAATAATCTGTTTTGACACTGTCTCATTGGTATTTATTTCTCAACAAAATTAATTTGAAAAATTAAATTAAATTAAATCTTAAAAAAGGATTGCAAGAGCCAAAGCCAGAGCAAGAGCAAAAGCTGCTTGCATCTTTATTGTATAATTCTTATACAGGTTGTTATTGTATATTTACATTCTCACATATTGACCTGATTGGTGTATGCATAGTTCCACTGCTAAGTCATGCTTCTATAATTATACCTTAATGTACACCTGCACTGACAATGGACTCATGTTCTCAGAGCTGTCCTGGAGCATTTAACTCAATCTGAAAAATTCTCCACAAGACAAAGACAAAAATAAGTACAATGACATCATGAGGTGGAGAGCAGAGGGCTGCTGAATGTCAGCCTTAAATTGTATTCTACTTAACCACCTAAATAAATCAATATGAACCAAATACTCTGCCTCAGTGTTATATTTTAGCTCAGCATTATATTACTTAGCCATAGCAAAATACCATTGATTTGCTATTACATAACTTTACTCCTGCAGTTCTAGAAATGAGAATTGTCAGACCAGAGTTCAGATTTTGATGAGTTTACTACTTATAGCTTCCAGGGGACCACCTTCTTTCACATAGGGGAGAACAAGTGGGTGGGAGAGGAAGAAATGAGGAGCAAAGAAAGAGTTCTTTGGTATTTCTTCTTATAATATGGTTACTAATCCCATAATAAAAAAGATACTCTGATGAAGCCATCTAATGTTAATCATCAGCCAAAGGCCTTCTCTCCAAATAACATCACATGGGAGTCAGTACTTCATAATATGAATCTTTGGAGGATATAACTAAGCCTACAGCAAATATTTTCCAAGGTGTCTTAAAGAAGAGATATTTAAAAGTAAAAAATGCAGAATTTAGTCTCTATCCAATCTGCTGTCTTATCAAATCACAATGGCTTGGAGGGTCCCCAAGGCTGAAACAAGGAATTTAACCCAATCCCTTTAAAATAAGTGTGCAGGTCCACTGGTTCTCATTGTAAAAAAAGAATTTTCAGGATACATCATTACAAGAGGCATGAGAAGGATCATTTGGAGGTAGATCTAAGATGCAAGCAAGAGTGAAATGTAGGTATAGTACAGTTAGAAACAAAATAGCTGAGTCTCCAACTTCCCTAGTTTAACTTCCAATGCTATACCATTCTAATGGTTATCTATGTTTCCATAATCCTGAAATCTCTCTTCTCTCCATTCAACCAGAAGCATAACACCACTCTAGTGATTATTCAGATTTAAGCTTGGGAGGTCACAGCCTACTGACATCAATAGACAGAGACAGTGAGAGGAAGCTACCACAAGAAGATGTCTGACCCTATCAATACTAAAAGCTTCAGTTACAAAGCCCCCTTGTGGCCTACTTCTGGATGTTCCAGAACAATCTTCTGGATGTTCCTGCTGCTGCCCTGTGATCTTAAATAAACTCACTACATACTGTGAGGTGTATACTTTGCAATTCTTTCCTTGTCATACATGGAGCCTGGATTATGTTTGGCCCACTCAACTATAGCAATTAATCAAACAAAGGACAACACCATTGGGAACTGAATTTGCCTTCTTCTTATGTGCCTCTAGCCACAGTTCTGATTTATGTGTTTAGGAAATGGAAATCTGTGGAATTTGATAATCTAGTCTTAGTATTTGTGTTAGTCTTAGAAGGGGGGGAAGGATGACCCATCCATTGTTAGAAAGTCATTCCTATATGGAATGCCAAAGGGTTGATCATTTCATAAATGAAAGAGGATCATTTTCAAGTAAGTGGGAATTGGCAAAGCAGCTGAAAAGGAGTTTCCCTGTTGCTCTGCTTTGGGAGAAACAAGGTAGATGAAGCAGGATTGTATTCCAAAACTGCAGTTTTATTTAAAGTCTAATTTTTGCATTTTTGAGTTTCTTGCCTCCTTTCTATCTAACTTTATTTCCTCTAGCCTATCTCAATGAGTCAAGCTGAAAATATAGAGTAGTTCATGTTAGAATGGAAACTGCTCCCACAATCTTACCACTTGGCCACTCACAATTTAAGTGACCAAATTCAAAGCAGCAAAACTCAGGTTTTTGTTCATTTCTGCCAATGTACTTAAATTCTTAGCACTCAGTACTTAGAAGACATTACTCAAGATATACTTGCTTGAAAGTGTTTTGATTTGAATGTTAAAAAGCACATGACAACTCTACATAAATATAGGCTTCTGATGGTATGTTCAATCCTTTTTTCCCGTGACTCATTCTTAAATTGATTTATTTATATATGTGTAACTTTTGAATACTGGTTGTACTGTAAATAAATTACTTGGCATAAAGATATACAACATGAATTAAATTATGAAGACAGTAAAAAAGCTTAATGAATAGTTTTGCTTCTTAAATAGTTTGAGAATGTGAAGTTTGATATTCTGAATTCTATTGGTTATTTGGCATTTTGAATCAGAACTCAAATGAAAGCTTGTAAATTTTGGAAATAAAACTAGCCAATTAAACAGAAGTATTAACATAGGATGATAAATAATATAAATTTATAGAATAAAATGTGTCATTATGTTTGACTTTTAAAACTTGGCCGCTGTTTTTAACTCTGTAATTATAGTCATGAAAGAGATCCATTTTTATGAAATCTCTATGATAGCAGCTTTTCAAATCATGGTTTGTATCTCTGTGGTCATCCAAAATCTAGCATGTCTCCCAATAAATTAATGTGTTGTTAGAAGAGAAAAGAAAAAAATTGGAAAAAGAGGTGAAAAATAGTAATTCCATGTTGCTTCCTTTCAGGTAAAGTTAGCATCAGTTTATGAGCCACAGCCATGGGGCACATGAAAAGTATTCTCATTAACTTTGCTCTGCAGCTTTTTCAGCATTCTTACTATCAGTGAGTCATATTTGGTTTAGGGTCAAGCAGGATATTAAAAAAATAAAGCAAAGAAAGAAAAACAAGGTTTTACCTATATTGCTCAATTTGCTTAAAATTTAAGCAGATACTGTCTCTAATCAATCTGTTTGAGTGGAGACTGTTGCATCAGATTTCAGTGAGTAATTTTTGAGAGAGAGGGAAAATCATGAGAAAAAAGTAAAAAACAGAAGTAACAGATGAATAGTCCTGTCCTTGTCAGTGGCATTGGGGTGGTGTATGGAAAGTTCTTCTTCAGGAATGGGGGCTGCAAAGACTGCAGTGAAATAGCAGATTTGGAGAAGACAGAGAGAGGGAAAGAGAGAGAGAGAGAGAGAGAAAGATAGAGACAGAGACAGAGACAGAGACAGACAGAGACAGAGACAGAGAGACAGAGAGACAGAGAGACAGAGACAGAGACAGAAAACTATAAAGAATAACAGCTATATTAAAATAAACTTGCTTATTGTACCATCTACAAAGTTGAAGTGCATGATTCAGTAGATTTTTAACACACACATATAAAGCTGTACAACCATGACCATAATCAAATTTAGATCATTTTTATTATTCCAAAACAAGACATTCTGCACTCTAGCAATCATCTCCTCATCTCTCCCCCTTAAAGCTGTCCAACCACTGAGTTACTCTCCACATTCATAGATTTTCTTATACTGGGTACTTATTTATCAATTTTAATTCAAAATAGACCACACTCATAGCAATAGTATGGACCTTAACATATCAAAACATGGAAATTCTGTAATGTGGGCTCTTGCAACATATTGGAGTGAAATAAAAACCCACAGCAGAAACAAACTTGGAATATAATGACTATTTTTCCTCTCTTCTGTGCTATTAACTATCTTTTATTAAATATTATGTACCTAATATA